ATAATGATATTCTATTGCATAATTTCTCAATTGTGGATTTCGCTGTAAAATTTCGATTAAACATTCACGATGCACATTGTCTGCAAATTTGGCACACATGACATATTGCAGTTTAATATTCGTTTTTCGAATTCCAAAAATCATGAATTAAATTAAGAACTTATTTATTTCCGTTTGCTTAATATTTCGAATTAGTGCAGGACATTCAAGATTTCTGCAAAGGGATGCAAAACAAAAGGTGTAATATCAGTATCAACAATTTTATACAGATCCTGTTAATAATTAGCATGGAAACCTTACTTCCCAACATCGCTTTTCTGGAATGGATAGATGATTAGTACAGAGCTATCCAAATTCAATGAATGTTTGCGAGTTGGACGGATTTGTTCTCCTTTGAAATGCCAAGTTGTTACTGGTTGCGGTTTAGCTTAAAAATTCTCATATTTAAAAAAAATAAAGTAAAAATAAATTGATGTTTAGTAAATCACTCTTAAATGCTGAGATCAAATCTCATTATGACAAAAAGCGACGAAACTTGCTGACAAAAGTCTCAGTTCAGAAATAAATCCATAGGATGGTCCTTCCTGCAATAATCAAAATGGCAGGTTGATTAATTTCTAAGCATTTTAGAGAGCACTGTTTTTATGGTAACATAAACGAGACACTAATGTAACTACTTACAACCTTAGAACTTGAAGATATAAAATGACCCACTTATGCAATTAGTTGATCAGTAAAGCTCTTAATGTAATTTCTAGTATCAAAAACCCCAATAATTCTTATATGCTAATGTTATCATCGCTTTTCCATTATTAGAATACTTAACTATCATTACCAATATTACCATTAAAAATTCAACATGAAAGTTATATTTCCGCCTAAATGACAATGTCCTTTGGTTCAGGGATCCGTAATATGACTGATCCCAAGAAGGGCTTATACTGATAAGTTACGATCTATGAGATACGGTACCGGTATATTCAACAAAACAAATTCGCCATGCATTTTGCTCCTGAAACCCGCTTTGCTTTTAACTTATAAAAATTTGTCGTTAACAAGTAGGAACTTCACTTTTCATACCTGTTGCTTCACAAGTAAGTCGAACAGCTGAACCTTCACGAAAGCTACTGTTAGATGGAGCGGACAAAAAATGCGGCACATGTTCAAGACGATGCTGTTCATGATAGTTGCTGTAATACATTTATATAATATATCGTGAGTCTAGGAAATCAGAGTTTAAAAATACAACCTTTCTGATGCTGTAGAACCAACAAATATGAGTAGAAAAATCAGTAACGTCATGGAAGTAGCACTTCGAATTCTGGAATGGATCAAATTTTATTCTTGAGAAATAAATTTGTTTCCATAATTAAACAATATACCATTAATCTATGGGACAAAACTTTTGAATTGCTAAGCAACGAACGAAACAGAAAATCCAAAAGTACCACTTTTTTTAATTTTTCAAACTCAGATAACTGATTCTCGGAATTAACAAAGTGACTAGGAATTTTTTCAATATCATTAAAACTATAATTTTGAACAGCGTTTAGCAATAAATCCTGTTCTTGTTTTTATCATGGTCAACAGCAGATAATCTTTTGGGCTAACTTTATCTAGGGCGCCATTGGCAATAAGTTGTTACAACATTTTCAACAATTATATTCAGAGTCGCAACAATTTTTAAGCATAATTCAAGTGAATCTTCAAAGCACATGTGCATGATATTCATTTAATTTCAAAGAAAAACTGTGTAAAAAGCAATGAGAACACATTGTGGCAGCATATCCAAACGTAAGTAGTGTAAAATAGTTCTGATAATTAATTATTGGGGGATATTTTTTACAGCACCAACAAAGTTGATAAGCAATTACTTGGGAGGAAGACTGACGCATTATGTTGGGGATGCATTTTGAAATGCTTCTAGAAAGAAATTTGGAACTAACGAAGTTTTGCACAACATTCCCTTCTATAAAATACTTTGTTTTTTTGCAAGTTGCGTTCAAATTCCAAATGCTTAATCTTAGATTTTCCAAATGTATCCGACTGGAAATTCTAATTTTAAATCAAACTGCTCCATTTTTAAACTCCAAAGTTATATTAGATGCATTTTCACAAAATGCGACTAATGTATGTTAATCGGTTATTTTAAAATTAACTAAGGATTACAATTTTAAACAATTTTGAAGTTTAGAAATGCATATTTTGGGGAGAAAACCAGAGAAGCATTGCCTTTTAAATAAATTTCAATTCGATGCAGTAGCGAAGTTAACAATATAAATAAAGACAACAAATGGATAGAGTTAATGAGGATGAATTGATGAAACGAGCCAGATGGTCCCTAAATTATTACAAATTTTGCTTACTGGTCCACTGCCGAGAACAACAACACAGAGAATATTGAATGAAATGAAAGGTACAGAGAGGATATGAAGGATACGATGGTGCCTTTACTAATTAGCTGGTAAATAATCACCAGTCCTAAATACTTCTGAACATCTTAATGTCCTTTAATTGGAAGCATCGAGTTTCCAATAACTGTCAATTACAAAAGCTCTACATACTAATATGGCCAGCATTATGATTATATCCATAACTGGATTAGATATAGTTATGAATTACATCCGTGGATCTAATTCATAACTATATCCACTCAATAACTGTTCAAAAAAAAAAAAAGAATATAACTAGATGGGTGAACACATTCCTGCAATATCTCAGGAATTTCAGCAAGGTCTAGAATTATTCCCAGCACACGAAATTTTCTTCAGTGCGAACAAAAACTGGTTTTAACAAGCATGCCTCACATTTTATTTGTTGAGAGAGCATCCTATATTCGGTTCACAATCCCAAACATAATTAAACAGTTCAGCTTCCGGAAATTTTTCAACTAGTAAATTCACTTGGAAACATAATGCTTTATGAATGATTCGAAAGCTTTATACCAGTTTATCCAGTTATTTTTTATTATGATAAACTTCGGAAAAAAGTTGAAAAATAAGTTTATAAAAGCGTACAAACAAACAGCGAAATTAATGGAGGAAAATTAAAATGTGTGCACTGGTTTTAAGTTTATCATAATTTCAGTGGTTATAAGTTTATCATAATTTTTTTTACAGATTGTGGTAAGTTCATAGAAACTGCGCTAGTGTTTAGGACAGGTTCATTGCCCATCCATCAACATCACATTATTAACTTAACCTGTTCTTCTATAATATACTTTATTTTTAGTCAACAATTTATATATATACACATATTTAGGATAATATCATTCTTTATTCAATTGAATCACTGAAACTTCACTGCTTATTTCCGAAAAGGTTCCAAAATCTAACATAATTTGAAAAAGTTTAAAACAGTAACTACTTTTCTATTTAAAAGAGACATAAACAAGTCAACTAAGCTATTGATAGCTCATAAGTCATATTTTACATTTATCAACTTGGCCATTTAGTCAAAGTAACATTAAAAAATTCTGAATGCTTCCAAAAGATGTCTGAAACTCCAAGCTAATGAGTGTATTGATAGGTTGTTGAATTGTATAAACGGAACCAAAAGATGGATTATAATGGCAATCCAAATCATTTCAGGGTGTTGAGCAGTTTTGATTTTCAGATTTCAAATACTGACACAGAATTCTCTACGTGTTTCAAGTTGGCTGATTCAGTTATGAGCTTACTGCAACTTTTATAGACTAAGGAAATTTCTACCAGATATAAAAAACCAGCAATACTGAATCATTCAAACTGGTAAATCAAACAATACATAATGATAATTATATATCCAAAGATATATTTTATCCGTTAATTAGATCTGAAATGTTTGATATAAAATTAACAACTTTTAAGTTGTTGAATTAGTTTTCAGATTCTGTAATGGTTGGCATAATTTCAGATTGTAGCCTGCAGTTTTTAAACATAAAATATGAGCAATGGCGAAAGTAAGGGAAATTTCATATATTTAAAATATTTGGAGGAAAGAAATTATAAGGTCGACAATGCTTGGTTGCAATGAATTGAGTTGAAAATGCCAAATCATTACTGCCAAGTGCTATGAATCTTTCACATCGACGTCATCGATCATCTTTTCTGTCATCATTAATCAATCATTGAAGAATTCCAAATGGTTTATTTGAAATCAGCAATTCCGTAAGAAGAAAGAAACAAAGAGAAAAAGAAAAAAAAAACTGTGGTTTATTTAGCAGAGCGGAAGACTTTTCATTTTCCACTAATAATCGCTTTTTCGCTCTTTACTTTCACAGTCTTTTGAAGTAAAAATTATTGACAAAAACTTACATCCGAATGTTTCTTATTTGATTGCTTCGTGTTTAGAAACAAAATTCAGTTTAATATAGTGATATTAGTAGGATCAGTGGTAAAGTTGCAAACAATCTGAAGCGTTCTTCGAAGTGTTTGTAAATATTGACACAAAATTTTCGATGAAGGTACAATACAAATTCTTCTAAAAGAATCTGTAAAATCTAATTACTAGGGAATTGAATTGAAGAATTGAATTCTGTTTACTAAATCTAATTACTAGGGAATTAAATGAGGAATTCATTTGCTTTACCAAATTCTAACTAATCCACAACTTTTGAACTTTTGAAGTGTAATTGTCTTTTAATGTAAAAAAAAAAAAAAGATTTTCGACTTATTTTAGTTAGATTCCTCTTATTACAGGGATATCCTGCGCAACAAATAAAAGAGAAACCGATGGAGTGCAGTTAGTTTGAAATAAATTATCTCGAAAAAGAAAACAATAACAGAAATCACTCCAATCCTTATATATAACCTTAGATGGAGTCAAACTCGTAAGTATTGAATTTCACATTCTTCATCGCATGTCTTAGAAGCAAACTGAATAGTGAAATTAACTCAAACCATTGAGGCCCGAGAAAAACAAAGTGAGACTCAAAAGACTTTTGGAGATTCTATAAATTTTTAAAGTGTGCAAATTATTCTGAAACAGAAATTGTGATATTAATAAAGTGAATTAAAATTATGACCACAAACGATAGCAAAACTGAAACTACTATAATAATTATTAAGGGAACTACGTGCAAGCAACCTCAACTGAACACTAATAGAGGCTCCGTGCGGAACCCAACGCACTTATCAGCAGCTCGACAATACTCTGCATACTGCTTAGGACCTGATACGGTTTCAAAGGTAAAGTTGTATCAAGGATTCAAGCTTTGTAATTTCGCATACAAAAATTCGCAACTCAAGGGTAATGATTTCACCGTATTGGTATGCAATCTTCAAAAGCGAGAACTTCACGAATGTCATCTCAAAATCTTTACTGGAGATTTGAATTCACATGCGAAAAACAAAGATCGGAATTTCCGAATTACGGACAGCAATCGACAACAGGATTAAAAAAGTATAAACAATTACGTACTACTTATTCTACAATTATCACTATAGTTGGGTTTCCATATCAGCAAACAAAACATCTTAGAAATTTTGCATTATAAATTCTCAAGTGATTCTAATAATTTATCATTTTTTGACGATTTGAAATACCAAAGAAGCGAAAACCAAACTTGTCTACATCCAATTTCAGCTACAATTCATACATTTTCTACTTACTTTTAAGGATATATTTCAAAAGCTGGAAGCTCCAGAACTAGGCCGATTAAATACCTTGACTCGACATACAAGTATCATCAATATTGCTTTGTAGATAAGCATAACGGCTACTACCGCAAAACAGATATTATTTAAAATGTATTCTTTAAATCTGGATAAAAGAGAAGAATATTACACTGTAAATGCGCTACTCCTGCGGTCTGAGATTCGATATAAACAGAAACGTTAAAAACACTCACTTTAAACAAGCTATGAAAGAAGACAAATGTCTATGATACAGGAGATTCCATGTGATTACATTCCTGATGAAGTATATAACTAAAAAAGAAAAAACGACCAAGACAATCATCTCCGATAACATAACTTTTTCAAATGTAAACACCGGATAAGAATAATGAAAAGGTTATTCCATGATCATCCAAACAAGCACAGTTCTAATAGATTCATTAAATATACAGGAGTAAGAAACAGAAAATTGGTGACATTAAACAATCGAAAATGATAAAAGACACAAATGCCAGCAGCTATAAATCATAATACATTCAGATAAACACAGATAATAAACGTATAAACTGTCAGATTAAAAATTTTCAGACATATAAATTTTTCAGATTTTCAGACAAATTACAGGTAATGGATTTGCATGAACAAGCAAGCACGTACTATGTATAGATGTAGAACTAACCTTAAGGTGCTGATGATGGCCATATAATACTTCACAGAGCAATTGATGGGGGCGAGTAGCAGAAAGTATGCCAGTAAACAAAACAATTTAACAACTGAGGAAGGAAATTTCACAATTCCCAAGAACGCTTCCCACAGCAGAAGCAAAAAAGTTTTTCAGTAAACCATTTAATCTATCTATTTCCACTTATTAAAGGAATGTGTTGAATGAATATTGAAGACTTCATTAAGTTTCAACACTTGAAAGATTTCGGTCCACAATCATCCGAACATTTCGCCATTTTCGCACGGTCCTTCCTGAAATAACGGGGCAATTCTGGTAATGCTAAGGAACAAAAGCAAATCCACCTTTATTCCGAATCTTTTAAATATATACAATGAACTTCATGAATAAGAGAACATAAAAGCTTACTCCTTCCACTTCCCAGACTTTCTCATGTCATCTTTCTTCCTTTTCCGAGAATTTCCATTTTCATTCTCTTCCATATCCTTTTCTTTCAAAACCTTGTCATATTCACCTGCTTCCACTTCCGCATTGTAATATTGCTTAAGACGCACATGCCAAGCAATTGAAGCGCAAGCACTTATAGTTCGAAACTGATGGATTATTTTCCGAGGTAGAAAGTAAGCATCATTATCATGCAACTAAAAAGTTGATGAAAATGCCTACAGTTATACAGCAATGAAAATAAATCATTAAATAATCTATAAATTTTCAAGGAAAAAAATACTCTCAATTACTCTAGTTGCCTGTTCTTATCACCACCACTTACTATCTCAAAAATATGAGTGTTAGCAGACAGAAGTTTTCAACAGTTGCGAACTAGAACATCAACTTACCAAAAAACGAGAATAACGAACTCCTTCTCTTCTTAACTGATTCAATTTTGCCTCTTCAACCCATTGTGCACACTAAAAGTAAAAAAAAAAAAATGCTTGCAAGAATTAAAACGAGTTAAAAAAAAAAGATGTTATTACAGGAAATGTGATTAAACCTGTGACATCGGAGGTTCATAAAGATCCAACTGTAACTCATCAACAATTCTTTCGAAGTCACTTGCATGAAAACAAACGACATCTTTTACCGCCCTTCTTCCTATTTTATTCCTATAAAAATACAGATCTGTACAATAGCAAAGCATTCAATTTGACTTTATGAAATTTTATAATATAATAAGATGGTTCTATATAAATGAAAAAATCTTCACCATTCACTTACTTCTTCTTTTCCGTTGGTCCATAGATTGACTGAAGCACGCCAACTGCAGCTGTTGTACGCCTTTCCAAACCATCACCTACATGATCAGCATGACACGGTGTCCGATCTTCAAAAAAGAATTCACGTGGCTCTCGGCACCTGAAAAATTAGTACTTTTGGTCAAAATTAACAACAAAAGTTTGGTACTGTTCTGAAAGATAAAGACACAAAAACTTTTTAAACCTGTAGGAAGGTAGATGTTGTCGAACTGATGAGCTTCGTTTTCGAGTTCTCGATGACAAATCTTCCTTCATCTCATCAGTCCTTATCATCTAAAAGAACGATGAAAAACAGAAAATGCAAATCAATACGGAAATACAAGATTATTTTGAAAAAGTAAATGTTCACAGAATTACATAAAAAATGTAACAAATTTAACGGATTTATTCTCATCATGCACATTCACACATTCAGTGAACATACCTGTTCACCTGGACGTACCCAAAAAATAGGTCCATCATCACTATCAGAAGGACTTTCGAGATCTGCTCCAGACCATTCGCCCCAAGGCATTAAAAGCTTAAGCATTGGGAACATTTCTAACCATTCAATCAATTCCTTAAAAACATATATGATCTAAATTAAAGCCATAAAAAATATCGGAGAAATAAATAATCCAAACATCAGTATAATATAATATAAAGCGAACTTTGAAATAATTGCCGCACTCTTCTTGTCTCGTTCCCACCAGACTCAACGAATGCAACGGACCATATCTAAAGAAAATTTCAAATCAGATTATACTATAATAAAGTGATTAAAGTGATATGATAATTTAGTAAAACGACAAACAGCCATACAGTCTATCCTCACCACAGCTCGTAGTTCTGGTATAGTTTAGAAATACGGCTCGCAGTAAAATTGGTAGTGGTTTGTTTCACCTGTATTTAAGTGCTAAATACATAGCATTTTCTCCAAAAGGTTTAAAGGTTCTGGAACATACGCCCAGTAGTGCTTCGACTATACTCAACAGCAGTTTTTCTCGTACCGTGATGTAACGATTGATGGGGTCTTTCCTACAAATTTCTCGCTAAGCATCACGAAGACTTCCGGATGGTTCCACTGACATTTCAAAAACAATTATCCAATTTCAAATTGTCATTAACTTACCTAAAAGTCCCATGATGACAAGTTTCCATAACATGACTATAATATTCCGAAACAGTTGTGGTGCTAACACACTGCTTACTGGTGAGTGATCCAATCTTTACTGGCATATGGGGGAATTTCTTTGCAAAATATTCCAAACCATTCTGTAATCAAACACCGTACGAAGTCGGTTTAATTTCACTAAAGAAATTCAAAAAGATACTACTGAAAATTTCAAATGTAATTCCTGCCTGAAGGTAATCAGCAGCGTTTTCAATAACAGCGATTACAAAAACGGGCGTGTTGTCAACTTCAGCCAAACCGAATGTTACAAACTCCAAGGTAAACTCGTCTAACTCGGAACCACTGAAATGGTCCTTAATTTTCGACCAATCTGCCTTAAGCATCGAAGCGCCACCATTTGGATGCGTCACAACATGAATATACTTTCGAAACTAAAATACACCTACAGCTTCAGGGAACAAGATTATTTTAAAAAAAAATCTATAATAAAATGCCAAGTAATGAAATGTGTTACAAAAGAGTTCTCGAAAAAATGACCTTCTCAGAAATCCTTGGCAGCTGGCCATAAGCTTTTTTATGCCGTGATACACTTTTATTGCTATGCAGTAGAGTTTTTGAACAATCTGTGACATCCGTCACTGTTGCCTGCTTGAATAAACCGCCTGTTGTAGAATCGATAAAACCACTTGTTGATGGAGAAGAATATTCACGTTCACTGAAACAGCTGAACAGAAATTATATGTTCATCTTTTTAAGGAAATCTGTAAGTCTTAAACAGTACGAGAATAGTTAGTGGTAGTACATCTACTTGTTATTGTTTCGCACAATCTCTTTCAAATTAAATCAAATTTTTAACTAAAATATCCTGACAGAATATTCTGCTCAGTGCTTGCAATATAGAATGAGACATACTGCCTCTCTTGTTCAAATACTTTCGAAGTCCCCATACAGTTTCAAGGAAACCAAATTCCCGTAAGTTTCGAGTTACTACTCCAGAAAGTTATTATTAACAACAGAGACAACTGAGCAGGCGATCAATTAGAAACAAGAAAGCATTACAAATAAATTCAATACATAAATTGGTATATTTATGGAGCAGCATACATTTGATAATCATAGTGAAGTACAAAACTCAAAACTATATTATATATCCCACGTTCACATATCACTTATTATGCGGTGTCTTGACGTGAAGCTTTAGTACATGATGATGATATCGCATAAAAATCTTGCACCTTTTACATTTCAATAATGGTATCAAATAAAGACCAGGAAAGATTGACTTCCCAAAAACTTGAATTTTGTCGAAAATGAATTTGAAGTAATTTTGTTGTATGACTTCGGGAGAAGATAGCGAGGTTGATTTAAATCAAATACTTTGATTGATTTGAAAGCACAAACAAAGACGCGGAGCTCGCAATTATTTTATATTATAAATCTTCATTTTTTTTTCGTAGATTTTTTTTTTCTTTTCATAGACAAGAAAAAGATTTTTCCTGTACTCTCATGCACAAACACAAATTATTCCTCAAGAATTAAAAAAAGTATCTCCAGAACATATTAGATTTCCAAAATAAATTAATCAATGCAAAACAATAGAAACAATTTAATTGAGGTTATTTGGGCATTTAAAATTCATTTAAAATGAAACTCTTGCACAAAGGCGTATAAATAGTGAACAGAATATATAACGAAACTATGAAACAAAATATCAACAAACTAACCAAACTCCAAATACTGGAGAAGCTGGTGGTCCAAGCTCAACAACTCCATCTTTATGATTGTCATTTGATGAGGTCACAGAGACTTCGAAGAACTGAGTCTGAAATTAAATTTACAATAAATTTGGTATCGAAAGTCCAAATAATTATTCTAGTTCAAGACGATATAGCTGCAAAAATATTAATGAAAATGAAACATTATCCAAAGGAGCAGGGTTTCTTTTTGAATCAGTAGACGACGTCAATTCATTTCCATTCAAATCATCCTCTGGAACAACGACAACCTTTTTCACAACCATCTCCTCAATCTTTTGAATTTCTTCATATTCCCGACGTGGTTTTTCGTCTAAAAAAATTTGTGTAAATAATATTTATGAATCATAGCCCATGTACTAATTTTATAAAAACATCTATAAAAGAAATAACATACCGTGTTCCAAATTGGCAACAGCCAATCGTTCCGCAAGTATTTTATTATCAGCTACTTGTTTAATTCCCAAATCCAACTCAGTTTGTTGGATTTCATCAATTTTAGTAACAGTAATATTCGTCTTATTTTTATCTACTTTCGTTATTTTTCCATCATCCACAACTTTTATTAGCGAATCATTGTTACTATTTGAAAGTGTACTACCCGATGCATCCTTATTCATTTTCCTATCGCTTTTCATCGATTCACGAAAGTTATTAGTTGACTGTTTGATTTCCTGTGGATCACCAATAGAAGCTTTCAGATTCTTATTTTCCACACCAATCAACTCTTCACGCTTCATCTTTTCGGATGGTTTTAAAATTTCAATCATCTTGACCTCCTCTTTCGCCTTTTTATCACTTTCCTTTTTTTCAGCTCCAACTAATTTGAAAGTAGATCTCTGTCCACAATTTTCTGTGTCTGGGGCACCGCGGTCTTCTTTCACAACTGAGTCTCTGCGCAAAAATATTTTCCTTCTTTCGTTTTGTATGCGTACGGACTTTATTGACTTAGAAACTCGTGGTTTTGGGGACAAGTCAGCAAGATCAAGCAGTATCGGATCCAAAGCCATTGGTATGTCCCTTGGCTTGATGATGGGTGTCCCTAAAATTAATACGGTTAAAGTTATGCTCTTATAAAATTACACAAAATTTGACTTGATCTCAGCTAATATTTACAGAGCTTTAATCTAACTTCCTAACTTAAGATAGCAATAAGCTCTAAAGAATTCGATCATTATTTATGCTTCATCAACACACCTGGTTTCGAATCGCCTTTAACAGAACAAGCGTTACTGTCTTTCACGCAAAAACTCGACTGTGATACTAGTCGCACATCATTTGGTGGTGGTGGAGGTGGTGGCGGTGGAGGGACGGTAAGTATTTCAGGACCGAATATGCGTTCGCTAGGAAACTTCTGACTGAAATTCCTCATGAAAAAAAAAAAAATGCAAAACCTCATGTCCACAATAAGTTTAGAAGTTTAAGTAATGATTCAAAAAAAAAAAAAAGATTTTTTGAAAGATAGTCCTTATAAAATGATAGGTATTGATGTGAAAGGCAAGCAACCCTGCTTAAAGTAACTTATTTCAACTAGCAAAGTAAAAAGCTTAGCGGCAACTTCTTTCTTTGATATTCTGATAACAAGTACATTAAAAAATCTTGATAGGAATGTATACCGCAGCAAAAATATATATGAAGTATGGTTTAACACCCCGAATAATACTACTCTTAATTAATCAACATCTGACAAACCGAATGTTTCTTTAAAAAAAAATATCAAGAAAGTGACGAAAAATTTGTCGAGTCATTAATTGGTCGACCTGATGCCACTATAACATTAAAACGGAACTTACTTCGGAACTGATGAACCAAAACTGAAAGAAGGGCAAACTCTAAAGCCAGAATCTCCTGACCAAGTAGGAGTTTGAAAAATTCCAGTTGTATGGTTGCTCTTCTGTGTATTCATATATGGAGGCAGGGTAGTGGATGTTGAGGCCGGCTGCACCATTAGAAATGGCTGTACATGCATACCCGGTACAGAACCGAAATAAGGCATTTGTGAAATACCATTACTGCCTAGAATATGTGCACTCAGTGAATATTAAAGAAATTAATAATAACTAGAACAGCAAGTATTTTGAATTGTGATCACAGTTTACCTTATAACATATTTCAATAAATTTTTACAACCAATTTAACTCATAATTTTAAACTGATAAATAGAAATTCATAACGTCACTCAGATGTGTTGATGTCCTGAGGTGAATTTTTGGGTTTGCGCTAACGTGACATCTTGTTGGTGATGGTAAACTAAAAGAACAACGTAAAATGAAAGAAACAGACCGTGATATCCCATAATATTTGTACCACCAGAATAGTTCGGTTTACACAAATTAACTGTAGGTAAGATAATTACTGGACTTCGATCTCTCGCTGTTGTTTGCTTCAGGACTGATTTTATGATTACTGGCTTTTCAGTGGTTACTGGTGACGGTGATCTAGACTGGGGTGACTTCGGAGGATATGGTGGAGTATGTGGACCACGTCTTACTTTTCTAAAAATATTTTAAAACATGCATTACCCTTCCTGTTACACAATTAAACTCCTTGATTATAACACTCAATATAAGATACAACTCACTAACCGCTCAGCCGAAACTGGATTAGTTGAAATATTTGTCACGCTACTTAGAAGACTGCGATCAGAATTTGCTTCAGAATAATCGCTTCCACTGATATTCAGTTGATTTACTGTCTTAATAAAATAGGGGATTTAAAATACATTAAAACACATCGTAAACTGTTCGGTTGCAGAATTATCACACGAGAGATGTATACCTGATATTTTGGGATATTTTATTGACCGAGAAAAGATGCGAACTAACATCATTATTTGCCAACAAATGACTCTTATCAGGATTTGGAGGCGTAACCGGCCCACGCCGAACTTTCCCAATAACAAATGGAGGTTTAGGTGGTGGAGGACAGTGATATAAAGCATCCGTTATGACTGAATGAGTCTGCTCACATACCTGAAATAAAATTCCTAGCACTACTAAAATAACTTACTACTCACTTATAGAAAAGGAACGGGCCTTTTAGCTAGACAAGAGAATAAGTTCATTAACGATGAAGCATTTAAATTCATCGGCATGACTGAGAATAGATCTTGTCTTTTGCGACAGTCAGTTTAAATATCTTCAAATAACTAAGTCCAGTGATTCTTCAGTAAGTAACTAGGTACGAAGCGATAATAGCAAAAAACCTTAAGAGATTCCACTGCGGCTTCACATTTCACTTTACGTTCCATATTCATTAGCAAGTCCTTGAAGTGTTGACAAATCTCTTATTATGTAAACTATAGTGCACTAGAAGCAGTAATTTTTAAACACAAACAAAATACAAACGATGGATGGCAGGTGAAATGAACTGACACTTACGTCCTACATCAGAAGGTAAAAACAAAGTACTTTTCAAGGTGTCCAGGAAATTCCTTAATTTCTACGACTGGTTTTATTTTTAGTCACCTGCTTACTTTCACAGAGAGACCTACCATAAGTAAAGGTCAAAATTATATTACGTATGGTAGTATTCCATGAAAGAATACCATTTGCTGTTTCCATGCAGTTACTTCATCAGACAAGGGTTCGATAAGCATACAAGTCAATATTAGCATCTATAATCACAACTACATGGGGTTATTTCAGCAGCGTATGATACTTTGAATCGTGCCATGTTCATGTTTTCTTTATTTCCCTTATTATTCCTTGTTCAAAAATTTACATGGCTTTGAAATATACTGCGTTAAGTTTTGAAATCTTTTTTTCTATACAAATTAAACTCCAATTTCTACTCCCAAATTCACCGAATCATAGAGCGACCTGTATTCGGCCTTCGAAATTCCCCTCTTTAAGTTACACATCCGACCACAAAACAACGACTCTCAGACAGCACAAAATAAAAGTCCCTTCCACACCCACAATTTTGCTGATTTTCCAAATCATGCGCCATTTGAGAAAATGCCAAAGGTTTTGACTGTAGTGAGAACAATCGTTTCAGGATATAGAAATCTCATGAACACACAAGCTGCATTACTGTGAAACAGTGGAACTTTCATCTGGCAATTGTCGTAAAGGAGACACGAGCGTGCGTTGACAGACCAGGTTGTTGCTGGCGTATGCAACGTAATATTGTAATACAATATGAATTCCAACACGATTTAAATAATTGAAACTGAATCTCGACCCAAATCAGGCTATTAATCTTGGGATGAATGCCTGTGGCATGCTTCACCCGTCCGAAACGGTTTATTGCAATGCGGTCTCGCGGATGAAAAGTGGGCTTCATTAAATCTTGCAGATACGTTTTTAGGGCGAGGAAGACGTGGTTGGATAGGCGGAGTGGTCAGGGTTATAACGTTGAGGATTATAACGTAACTTTAGGCAGTGTGATGTAAAATATGCAAATACTTGCCATTTATTTTTTGGACGTTACGTTTTAACTAGTTTGCGTGGAATTTCGGCCACAGCGTTAGCACTATCTAGTGTATTTTTAGTGGGCTGTATCGATTAGTTCAACTTATTTTCCTTGTGTAGCAGAAACAGTATCGTTGCGATAATGGGTGAGCCAGTAGCGAAGCGCTGCAAGACGGATAACGAAACAAATGGTGATAGCTCGAAGGTAGTTTGAAACTTGGTCTTGTTTTGTAGTTTTTAAATATGTACATGATTAGGCTCCTACTGTAATACATGGAGACTTGTTTGAGTCGTTTCTTTATCAGCTGCTCGTTGAAAATAAGAATATGAAGGGCTTAAGGGTATATTTTGGTAGATATTTTATAAAAATCCATTGGAATTGTGAATATAGTTGGTCTGTGGGAAAATTAATACAGTTATTTTTGTTTCGGGGCAAAAAGTTGTTGGTTCGACCAGAATGTTATGGTTTTTCTTACAATACTGCATATATGTAGGTCGCATCCTTAAAAAAAATTCCGTTTCCTTGAACTGTTAGTTTTCTGGGGTCATTCCGAAATTTTATAAAACTATTGGGTTTTTAACTGGGACACAACTGAAACAAATAGATGTACTGGAGCAGATAGTTTACTGTGTTTTACTGACATGACGCTAGAACATTATGAAGTGTGCGATTTCTTATGGAATTGCAATGATCACTTAATAGCACCGTTTCAGTCTTCGTTTTTTCATTCTTTGTGCCACTGAGTCACTTTCTATCATCCAGCAAATTTTCGTGTGGCACAGCTCTTATCAGTTCTTTTTTTTTTCCCTTTGTTCAAAACAGTTTCAATCATGTACTGTGATCCGCTGTATTTGCTTATGCTTATGTTTCCAGGTGGGTGATTACGATGCTGCTACGCAAAAAATTCTGGAGCAAATTGATCAAGTGCAGAGTGAAATAGATTCCTTGAATGAGAAGGCAAGCGAAGAAATATTGAAGGCTAGTTTTCGTAATGTTTGTTTTAGTGCTCCACCTTTATCGAAGTTCCTTGCAAGTTTTAAGACTTGATAAATCAAATGTATAGCAGATCTGATGTGATGCTTCTGCAAGATAGTCTGCGTCTTCTGGAAGAAATTTTAGGCAGACTTCAAAGTTGTTTTTTATCGTTTTGATGACTTACTATAATGTTTTGAGCTTTCGCTTTTGGTCCAAGTGGTAACTTTTTGGCAGAGGTATATCTTAGCGTTTCTTCTGTTATGATTTAATTGCGTTATGATCTAGTTTTTTGAAATCTTGCGGGAAAAAGTTAGAAGCACTTTTTTAAAGGTTGAACAAAAATATAATTCTCTTCGAAAGCCGTTTTTCGACAAGCGCAATGATCTTGTTCGAGACATTCCAAATTTCTGGGTCACCGCAGTAAGTTTTGATTATGTGTTGAAGTTCTAATTATATGGCATTAATTGCTATATTGCGAGACGTAAATAGTGATAAGCTGGGAAACTGGAATGGAAATTTTATAATGTATTCTCTCCCAGAACACAAAAAGTTCGAAATTTTTAGCACTGGAAGAACGAAGCATAGGTGTTTTTTAACTTATCTTACAAAGTGAGGTTTTAAGGTTGTGAATTCAAATTATTTTGAATTGAATAGAGAAAAACTTGTCCAGCTGTTCAGTTAGCGTAATTTAGGGAGAGATCGTTACAAGAATATTACAGTTATATGTAATTCAGTGAAGTGCATAATTCACTTTCTATTTATCAGTTTCTTAAGTACTATGCGAAAAGAAACAGTCGAATCCGTTAAAACCTTTTTTAGTTTGTCAACCATCCAAATATCAGTGCGATATTGGACGAAGAAGAAGAAGAATGTTTACATTATCTTACTACAGTTGAGGTTTGTCTTTCCATAATTTCTGTGACTGTCACTTTTTTGATTTTATACGACATATTCTGTCTATCATTAAAGTTGAAAGTTTCTGTTTCTGTCGAAACTTTAAATGTCATCCTGAAATATGTCATACCTTATTCAACACTTGTTAGAAATTTCTAGATATATAAGATATATGTTGCCATGCATAAATGACTTCAAAAATAAAATATCAATAGTTTACGAGCTGGGCGGTATAGAGGTAGTTAGTATGCGCATTATTTCAGTAACCTACCCAGTACTCCTATTAAATTATACTGATTTGCAGAATTGATTGTTTTAGGTAGAAGAATTTGATGATATCAAGTCTGGATATAGGATTAAATTGACATTTGATGAGAATCCGTTTTTTGAAAATACTCAGCTTGTCAAGGAATTTTTTCTCGGTGATTTTGAACCGACAAGTACTACGACTGTCATCAAATGGAAGCCGGATAATGATCTCTTAAATAAAGTATTATTTCCTTAAATATCACCTCTTCAAAATATGTTTCCATCTTTTAGAGCTTTTGCATTCAATTACAGTTGCAGTTTACTTTACTTAAAGGTGAAAACCAAGAACCAGAGTAGTGGTGATGCAACGCCAGCGCCACGTTCATTTTTTGCTTGGCTATCAGATAATCAGGATCCAAGTAACGACGAGATTGCAGAAGTAGGCTTCAGTAGTTTAATTAAAGACTCACCCTTGTTTCTATATATTGTTTTTTATCAATAGTTTAATTCTAAGGACACACCCCATGTTTCCGTATATTGTTTTTTATCGTATGGTTCCACTCAGAGTACTTTATACTTCATATATGAAAACTTTACTCTTTTGTGCTAATTGTGCGAACTCTATGTATTAAGCTTTCTGTTGTAGTTAATCAAAGACGATCTTTGGCCGAATCCGCTGCAGTACTTTTTGGTGCCAGAAATGGATGAAAATGCTGGAGTTTCCGGTGACGACGACAATTTTGATGATATTTTCGAGGAAGCCGATGATGCTGGAGAAGATAATGAGGACTGATTAAAAGTAATTAGTTTCGGGTAGGCCAGATGCTGATTTTTCTGATTTTTGCTGTCATTGCAGTAACATTAAGAAATGGTTTTTCGTTGATATTTAGTTTTTTAAAACAAGTTCTTTGCTGTTGTATGAAACAATTTGCCATTGCAGAACCCTGTTGGGAAAGCTGTTTGTGTGCATACTGATAAATTCTAGCGATTTTATTGGTCGATATTTTCTTTGCCAGTAATTAGTGGTAAACCGTATTTAGGTAGGAGTAGCGCACTAGGTTTCCGGAATTTTTTCATGAAATGGTAGTTGGATTTCTTTTTTTCTGATATATACCCAAATTTGGTTTTGGGTGTTGTATCTAATTGGTTCATCCAATAGATATATTCAGGCTTTGCTCTTTTTCCGCCTATCCTTATTGTTTAAGTAATGTGCTACTGCTAGTTTTATAGATCTAATCCTATTTGTTAAGAGTATGATATTATCAATGTGTTATATTCAATAAACAGAATCAATGTGTGCATGTAAGCGTGCTTTGTGATGTGCGCATATATGTATGTGCGTAAACATGTATGTATGTATGTATGTATGTATATGTGTGTGTGTGTGTGTGTGTGTGTGTGTGTGTGTGTGTGTGTGTGTGTGTGTGTGTGTGTGTGTGTGTGTGTGTGTGTGTGTGTGTGTGTGTGTGTGTGTGTGTTCTCGCATTTAAATATTTTGATAAAGTTTCCTTCCTATTTTTGTACGCACTTTTCAGATCATATGTTGTCATTTTGTCACTTTTCATTTGCTAAGTTAACAGTAACTGATTATGTATTTGTCATTTTGCGCTCGCATCTCAGACATTAGTTTTAATGCAGCATTTCAGATTTTATAGTTTTCTGATAAAGAGTACCGTGCATAAGCTCACAAGTTTAGCTTTTAACCCAGGTCCTCCTATTAGCTACGTGTACAAAAAAGACATTTACGAAAATTTTTAGACAGTGTCTGAGAAAGCGTGACGCTTCTAAGTGTCGTTATTGGATAGAGCGCTGTTTATCTAGTGTGGACTAATTGTATTCATTCGTCGGCTACTGTAGTGTTTAACAAATTCATTATTCAAAATTTCAGTTTTTCTAGGCTAAACTTCTGTAATATTCAATGGGAGCCTTCCTTTGGACAGCATATATATATATATATATATATATCATAAAACTCAAGATTACGGTGATACTGAGTTGGGTTCATGAATTGAATTCCGAGTTCCGTTATCCGAAATGTATTCAAACATAAACTATTGCTAAGTACAGTTTTATATAATCTCAATATATGTTAAGTGGGTCTATAATGCTTTGTAACCTCCTACTTCGTTTTTCAACGAATAATGTGTTTTAAATTTCTTGAAGAAAGTAACACCAGACTGTTGTACATTTTTGTTTGCTAAATTTATCAGCATTTTTTGTCCTTTCGATGCCGCTGTTACCAAGCACTGCTTTTTCTTGGGCGCTTGGGGAATTGTTCTCATTCTCGAACATTTTTTATTTAATGTGTGGAATGTTGTTGCTGTTCACATATTTTAGACAGAAATAAGACATTTTAAAGTCCTATTTACAAACTCTTGCATATAAGGAGAAAAAGCATCCCACGCTTGAGATAAATTTGTTCATCGTTGATTCGTTTTTGCTGCTCGATGTCCATATTTTTCTATGAAATAATGAAATAAGGTAGGTTTTTGAATTGTAAACACGCGGATTGTACCTCTCTTTTGTACTGTAAGGTTATGGTGTCAAAAAATATGTTACACGTTTTTGCTATGACACATTATTTTTTAAAGAGTTACATTTTAGAAAAGCAGGGTTACCCTATATGTTGCTGTTTTTGGTAAGGTATCTATAAATCATTGGTTGAATTTTTATAAGAGGTTGTGAATGCAAGCACATAGAGGGTTTTTCGGAGCAGAAAGCGCTTACTGTTGAGAGTGATAAGTTGCTAATGGGGAAGGAGGAACGAGGGGTGGTTTATGGAACGTGTAACTTGGATGCAAGAATATATCGTTGCAATGTGGAATTGTATCATATAGGAAGCAGTCATCCAACACTCATTTTCCTGTTGTAGCTGAGTATGGGATTTTCAACTGTTAACAAAGTGCATAATATATTGTTTAATTTGATAAAAATTAATAGTGATTCCTGGAGGAATTGACAAGATTAAAATCCATCTCTTACTACATGAAGAGAAAAGATCATCTGATAGCTAGCTCTTAACTCAATGTAACCATGAGTTTGTTGCAAGTCAGTGCTAACTGCACATGGAATTAACTTGTCTAGATCAGTTTTTTTGTACCAGCACGTTATAGTTCGACTGCTCTCCCGCGCTCATTTAATTCAGTTCATTTAAATCCCTTAAGTTCCCCATCAATTCATTCATTTTCTTCAGTTCATTTGTAGATACTCTAGGAATTATCACCGTATTGTTGCTATAGATTAATACTTGTGCATCGTGGCTGCAAAAGCATTACAATAGGCTTTTCATTCAACGCATTCGTCTATATCAATTACAGCAAGAAAGAAAAGCTCTTAAACATAAGAAAGCTTAATTCAACTCTACAGAGTCAGATACCCCAGGTTTCACGATATAGACGCTACAATTCGAGTCCTTTTTCATTTAAATGTTTTTAAGTAGTTTGAATATAAACATAACTAAAGTCAGTGTAGAAATTGAAAAAGGACTAAGGTTTTCCTAGTATTCCACATAATTTTCATATTCAGGACGTTATGAGAGCATATTTCTCAACCTAATGTTTTCAGTTGAGGCTGGAGCGAATTATCGAAATGTTTTAAATATTAATGGATTACGTGCTTTTTGGCCTTGCAAGACGTAATCATATGGTTTGAAATCGTGGAATATGTCGCTCATTTTAAAAGCTTGGGTAGAGAAGTACGGGAAGTGGGATCTGGTAACGGAGATTTTTTTTTTATTTTAGGGAACCGCTTAGCGGCTTTCATGTCAACTTACCAGTTTATTGCTTAGTGGACGAAAGTTTCAAACTAAAATTTTATTAACTGAGGAAAAATGCCGATAACAACCAATAGCTAAGTCTTTTGAAAGAACTACGAAATTTAATTCTTAAAGAAATAAATTCCAGAAATGAATTTCCGAAAGTCCGAAGCCTATTCACATTTCTCGGAAAAACAGAATAGCAGTTGTTTAAAAAAAAGGAACTTCAGCAAAGAACTGGGACGTCATTAACAATTAATAAGTTGAATTTTAAATAAACCATCTATTTTCGTAGCGATCATCAAAAAGAAAAAATTACAAAATAAAGAAAGTAGACGAATTCGAGATTTCTACTGGTACCAACATAAGTAATAAGTAATTGGTATGAAAATAGCATTACGATTTCCTAACAAAGCAATTTTAGGAGAATAATGTACACCCATCAAAATATTGTGCTGCCCACTGTTAGTGCTGCGATATTGACAGCCTTCAATCTCATTCTTTGTTACAATTATTCCACATGCGTTTGCTGATCATTTTGAACGTATTCATGAAGGATCTAAGGTAAGGGGTACTGTTAAAATCATGAATAATCATTAAAACGAAGGAAGGTCATATCTAAAACTTACGATGCAAATCGACTGCAACCATAATATAAAAAACCGGGTTTCAAAACCATATAAACTTACTTTTACTATTTCTTCTAAATCCAGTACCTCCTTATGCTCCTTTTCATACCGTCCCTCAGCTTCTTCTAACTGCTTTTTAAGTGCCTGGAACATCACGAATACTCGAAATTATGCAAATACAAAATCTGTTACCGTTTTATAGCACGTCTTCGCTAAATGAATGGAACATTTGATGAAATTACTTATACCGAATTTCACATTTAAAAATAAAAGTAGATAACAACATAAAAATACCTCAATGAGTTCCTCTTTCTCATGCAGCGAAGAAACCAAAGTTTGTTCATTAATTACACTTGATCCAAGACTACTAAGACTACTAAAATCATCTGAAATTTCAAAGCAACAACTCTTGCATAGATACTTCTATACAAATACAAGGAGGTACTGCATTTTGAAGCATAGTGAAAGTAAATAGGGAACAAATGATCACAAAACTGAACAATAAAATACGCACCGCTACTCTGAAGCTGTACAATTGTGGTTTGCAAAACTTTGATAATGTCTTCGCGCTCAATTTTGCTGGCAACCTCCTCGTCTACTTTTATCCTAAAATTTATTAGAAATTCCTAACAAGCCTGCTAAAGCGCTGTAACCCGAAATGCTAAAAAATTAAAAAGATAACTTGCCTGCATTCATTAAGAACGCGCTGAGTTTCTTCCAATTCCGCATTAAGCTGAACTTTCTGTGCAACTTCTTCATCCAGTCTGCGACGCAACATTTCAATTTAAATAAGATTATTATTATAATATTCGGAAAATATACAGACGAGAAAAAGCTAAGAATGAAACGGAACAGACAAAAAACTTATTTGCTCATTCTTTTTTTCGCACGCCTTACGTAACAACTCATTTTCCTGCTTAGCTGATTGCTGCGCTGCTTGATAGTCAGCTCGAATTGACTCAACTGTATTGATTGGGTCTTCTGTAAAATCGTCTTTTAAATTCTTTATTTAGTAGAGGCATCCGCTATAAGGAAAGTTTTTCTGCAATTCTCAACTTGGATATCCATTAAGATTTGGAAGTGCACCTACTGGACAGTTTAAAATAATGAGGTACTGATCAAAAGCTATGAGAAAGAAAAAGTGTTTTTGTCCGGTTAAGCAGTTCGAAGTATATCTTATCAGAAAGACTTTAAAAAACTTTTTAACACTAGTTTTATAAGGCTTTTAATACTATCTTCTCTGCACTGCACTCAATTGACTATATATAGGGATGATAATTAAGGCATTATAAAAACCCATCAATTTCGGATTTCAAAGAACAGTTTAGCATTTCTGTAAAACTACCCTGGAGATGCATCGGAAGATTTGTACGATCAATTAATGATGATTTAACAACATTCTCCATGAAAATATCAGTGTTCCGATCAATGCCATCGCTTGACATCAAATTCAAACTGTTATTCGCTAGTGGTGTGCTTTCATCAACCTCTTTATTGGCTACGACAGCTGCACTAGTGCAGTTTTCGGCAATAGTGTCATTACGGTTACCAATCTCTATATCATACAGAGGTATGCCTGAACCAGTTTCCAGTGATACCGAACGAAGTGTATCACTCAAACTACCGATTACCTGGAATTGATAATTTTGGAATTTGCAAAAGAAGTTCAGAAATGCATAAATTAGCGAGAAAATCACATCATAACGAATTGCGCTATCAAACTATTAACAGTGTATACACGGTATTAGGGAAATTAATCATTGAACAAAAATGAGTTTGAATATTCCTGATACCTTTCGTGATTTGGAAGTAATAATGTTAGGACATGTCGAAACAAAGTCACCATTCCATGATAGAAACCTTCACAAAAGTTGTGAACAAATTCAAAATACAAAATCTGTTGCGGTAGTTAGAAATGAATCAACAAATACCCAATTAATATATAGATGAAATGGTGATACCTGCCATATAATATACTCATGTAATATTTAATGAAGTTCTGTTTGACAAGGAAACACAAAACACGATATCACAAACCCGTTGATACAAAACAGAATACCAGGTCCCAATAATGCGAATTTATTTTAGAAAGTTTGATTCTTATTATCTTAATGTCATGTAGTGACAATGTATGAGATCTCAAAAGCTTCATGCAGTCCAGAAAGACGTTGTAGTGCTCAGTGGAATTTTTCAAAAGCTGTCCTAAAGCACTACAATTTCAAAGCGTATATGCAACTATAAGATCAAAAAAAAAGTGAATTTGGGACGCACCTCAAAATTATACATTTTGATGCTCGACCTCGAAATATTTCGAAGTCATGAAATGATTGACATAATGTCTCAATTTCGTGATGTAGCGTAAATTTTTATGGTGGAAATGAAACCATACGTTTAGGAAATCAAACCTCAAAATCATCATCAACCAGGGAACTGATATCGTAGCTTGTAATACCACTCTGTGCGTTAAGGTCAAGATGTCTCTGACATATATGATTGGCGTTCATCCTATTTTACGTTACCTGAAACATTTCCATTTAATTTTAGGATTATCATCATAATGCAGCATTAATCTTACATGAGATACAGAATAAGAACGGAAACATCTATGTAAAACAGATAAAGCAAGCAAACAGACAAAAAATTACTTAGAGTTAAGAAAATTCTGCTCTGATTGAGCGATATTATTGCTACATGATTTCTTCAAATGATGTCATCTTAACTAAATATTCCTGATTCATGAAGAGAATTCAAAAAAGTCCGAAATGTATATAGGGAATTGGTTACCTAAAGGAAAACAATGTCTTTAATAACTACGGATCTTCATGATGATCTAAAGAATGCCTTCTCCAGCGTCAATGTTATAAATTAGCACGAAACCATGTTCAGTGCAGTGCAACTAACTAACTCCAAAATGCAAACGAGCGTAACACAGTTCACAGAAATTATCCTTTCTCAGTAAATCACACTCATATGGTATGTATGCATGCACACGAGTCGCTTTTGTATGAATTAACGTTTGATGCGAGTAAAACATTAATGAGTCATTTAGGACTTGTATAATTAGTGGCCGTCTCCAACACTACTGCTCAGCTTATATTTCCATTCACGTCAGTACCGTTGTGCTCATTTTAATTGCATTGCACTAATCGCACTTAATTAGGGCTATTGAAAATAAGTCGAGATTCTTGACAATCGTCCTACTAGAACTTCCAGACGCACTAGAGCTTGGTTAACTTAATCTTAGTCTATCATTCTTCCTCTCCTCTTCCATCTCTATCCACTACTCTGGAACACTGAAAAACTGTACTAGTCACAGTGTTCATCTTCAAACTTTAGGAATGCTGTTTCAGAACATCACAAAAAAGGTTAAATTCAGTAGCAAACAAAAGCAGGAAGTATCTAAAATTCTCAAATCATCGCCCTTTCATGGCAAACTAGCCCAAGCAATCATAAGCTCAGCTGTTTGACTCCAGCACGTAACTAATAAAAACTATCTGAGGTTGTCAATGACCATGATACCCCTATAATAAGGTTGCTGAAGATTGAAAACAGCATTGGACAAAAACCTAACTTCAGTATTTCTAAAAATTTGCTACTTTACTGACCTTCACCGAAACTGATTCTGAGAAGTATAATTCATTTAAACCTTTGCATTCAAACATTTTTTTCTCGTACAGCACAAGGACGAATATCTTTTACCAATATTAAAATATATTGATTAATAACGAGTGCATTTCTCGAACCAAAATTTGCACAAAGGGGATTCACAACTCAATGCACACTCAGATGTATGAAATCCTAACATTTTATAATATCCATCATTAACTAAGCATCCGTTACATTACTTGAACATGTAGTTAATTAACTGCTATAATCAGAAAGTTAAAACATAAAATAACAAGATGATACCACAAATGGCCGGTAGAAATATAAATAAAAAAACATAAACCTACGATACAGCAAGGAATGAAGAATGAAGTATTGAAAGGCAATTATGACATTGATAACAATTCTTACAACGCAAACGAAAATTTTCATAAAAGGCATTTCCAGAATTCCGGATTTTGTTGTAAACGTCGGGAAAAGTTGGTGTACCAATTCTGCACCGCAGAAGCTGGGATAAAATCTGTGGATTCCCCAGGATTTGCTGGCCGAGGTAAACGAACAGCAAATGATTGCAGATGGTTAATAAAATTTTGCAACATCTTCTCTGTGAACTCCATGAATGATGACTGCAAATCCGGAAAAAAAAAAAGTTACATGGCAATGAATGGGATAACATTAAACATCAGGCCATTAAATCTGTCCTATTGTTCAGACTAACAGTATCCCAAACCACTTACTTTTTAACAATTATTTAATAGCCAAAATGCATCAGTGTTTCCTTGGTCTGCTGATTATTTTGCCATTATTGTGTTTGCATATATATATCTCAACATAGTTTAACCGAGTCTAGCAGCATTCACACCTACATTCTGTTGCCTATTTCCCAAGGTCATAAATACCTGCTGACTACTTGTTGCTCCTTCAGTAGGAAGTTTACTTGCAATAAGTGCAAGCGGTTCTACACTGATACCAATCTGAGCATTGCCAGCTGCATTACCATTCTTCGGCAAGTTCGATATGAATAGACCACCATGTACAGCATCCATTTTATGAAGCTAAAACTGGAGAAATCATGCTAAAAGAAATTTCTAAGAATATTTAGTTCCCTAGTACTGGTCTCCATGTATAGCTTCTAAACACCTCAAACACAACTATGCAAATTACTATCTATGGACAAGTTTATTTCTCTCAAGAAACCTTTCATAAACCATATCACATAAAGTATCTGTGAACACCTCTTAAGAATATGAACTTATACTTGAGCAACTCGAAATATAGCACTCGGCTTATCATTTGCAATGTATCCGAGGTAATGCCAGTTCGTTTCCGTTCCGATTTTCGGCCACCGAATATAAACTAAAAACTATGGTCAAGCAATTAGGAAATATAGATGTGGGACCTTCTCTCTCTGGATGAAGTTTGAAGCGACTTTTTTCTATGCCACGATGTTATTTTAATGCAAAGCAAAGTACAACCTGACATAAGATTAACTAAGACCACCAGCTCAATATAAGGAATTTAATAACTAATAAAATTTACCGCGATAAATGTGACCACATACCGGTGCCGCCAGTATCTGCAGGAAATGGTGCAACGCCTGTCAAGAACACCACAACATGATTCACTGAACCAGAATCAGCTACCTCAATAACAAATTCCGTTCTGCTCATTTGAACAAAATCTGTTTGGATCTAGAAATTTGACACATAACAAAGCTCTAAATGCCCCGTTTTGAACAATACCCAGAAAATGAAAGGGTAACTCCGGTAATACGGGTAACTTAGGCATTATGGTTTGAAGCAAACATCATTCGACAATCTTTGAGAAAACCACACATCTCAGCAATTTGTAATCTAGCTAAATCAGTACTACAACTACTTTCCCACTGGTAAGTGATGTAAGGCATGTGGAACGCAGGCAACTCCATTACTGTTGAAAAGATGCATATATCTTACCGGGCGACCAGCCACAATCACTCCGAACACTTTTAGCTGTTGATTGTCCATTTCACAAAGAATAAGCTAAGATATTACTACCATGATAACTTGATCGCCATTACCTAAAGGAAGGTAGAAATAAGTCCGTACGAGACCTGCCAACCGTAACCATGAAAATGTCTCAGGACCAACTGGAATTTGGGGAACTGTGCAAGTACTTACGGCAAATCTTGCAAATGTCCACTCACCTATCCCTCATCGCTGTGTTCTAAGTCTAAGTGATACACCTTTGTTGTTAAACGCTACAATCTTAAGCTTCCGGTTGAATAGGTTCCGGATGATCTAATCACATGTTGTGTCCCTTTAAATTTATTTTGTCTCATCATGACTGGACAGTTTTAAATTTCAAGTTTCAGTTGATAGATTTGCAAAAGAAACTTTGCGGTCTCAAATTTAACTGTTAACAGTCACAAAAATGTTGCGAAAGGAAGTATTAACTTTTATCCAGGGTTTTAACTCACCAAGGAAAGAATATCGTCTAAAAAATAAAACTTTGTTATTGCATGAATTACAACCATTTCTTGCTTGTCGGTTATATTTTTGTTCTCACTTTCAAGGACTAAATTTTGTTGCCTGCATTGACATTAAAATGATACTTTTCTTAAAATAAAAGGGACTCTCACATCTTCCTTTTTTCTTTATCAGCTCTGATTTATTTATTAATGAAGTGAATCAATTTTATTAATAAGCATATTTGCTGGTTATCCAATTTTGTGAAGAAAAGATTAGAAAGCACATCAGTCTTTAAGAATGAAAATGTTTGGTAGCCATGTGTTATATAAAATTCTTATTTAGAAAGTGCCAGATGCTATTTTTACCTGATACTCTCTGTCGTCTAATCGACGATCGTTACTCATTCAAAGTAATTTCACATTAGTGTAGCAATAACAAGTTGAAGGAGAATTGCTTTGAATGTATTTCCGGTAAGAATGAAGTTTATGACTCGAAGAGAATATTTTGAACAAATTTCTCGAAGCAATAAGGATGTTGAAACAGACAAAAATGCATGGCTATTATTACATTTATATGTTCATAAATTGTTTAAATAATCAGTTGAACTCTCCAAATATAATAATGACGCGCTGAGAATTTGTCTTCCCTATCAAACAACAAGTACATGTCAAACAATGTAGTTTTTTATTTGACGTATGTTAGCAGATTGAAAGGAAGGGAATTGCTGACAATAGCAGGATAAAATATAGTTCGTCAACTATTTTTCAAAAGAAAAATAATGAATACTTAACACTACTATCACCACTACTTACCACTTGGTTTCAAAAGAAACCTTTCAGTAATATGTTAATTTCATGAAGTAGCAGTTGGTACTTTTTAATTTTATCACTTTGCACCAAATGGTAAGTTTTTGCTGTGGAAATAAACAATTTAACATTCTAGAATTAATAAATTTGAGTGTCGTACACGGGTTGAGTGTTATTTTCTAACTGATGTCCATTTTTCTTAGAAACCATGTATTTGTTTTCTATTATAGCTACTCTTAATGTTTTGAGATTAGTTATTTTTTTCCAAAATATTTTGAAGAACTGTTGACAGCCTTTGCGTTTTCCTCTGCTACTTTAGAAGAGAATAATGAATAATATAATATTCCATATTAATTACTTTACTATTTTCACTTGTTAGCGTTGTTATCCACTTCCCAAGAATGAAGCTCTTTTTTCACCTATTATTGGATATAAATTTTCTGTCATAGAATCCATTTACATCAATAAAGAGCTGCTTTGTCATGCATTTTTTTTCTTCACAAGATTTAGAAGTGATTGAGATAAGCTGTTGAAATAATCATAGGGAGCATTGTAACTATCGAATATCTGCTTTCTGGTGATTTTGAGGATTGTTGTTAACTCGCATGAAAATATTAATATCTTATTGGGCATTTGATTTTT